TGGTCACGTTCTTCATTCTTATGCGACAGCCACTACGACGGCCACCACTGTCTCTACAAATACAGCATCCACAGATGCTCATAGTCCAGGTTAGCTCTTTGTTAAACTATTACATCATTCAACCGTTAAATCATCTCTGGAAAAGTTTTCTAGAATATGTTTCTATATATGTCAATGATAGGAGTTCAATGGAGTTCTGTAACTTTTAATAGCTAGGACTACATTTGTTATCAACCTTTTATAATTATTAACAGTGTTGATTTTTCAGGTAAAGGTACGGGAGGTGAGTCGTTACAAAAGGGAGTGCGAGATTTTCGAGACGAAACGACCGGTACGGAGTTAGTGGTGCTTTACGATTACAAAGCACAGGCGCCGGACGATCTATCGGTGAAACGGGCCGATTGGATATATGCGGATCTGGGAAATCAAACGGTGGATGGTTGGCTCTGGGCTTACGCGCCCAAGACCCGCAAGTACGGTTTCATTCCTAAAGCGTATGCGCGGCCCCCTGCCATGACTAGCTTATAATTCGAACTGTTAGGGAAGAAAAAAATTCGCTTGACTTTTTTAAGTAAGTTCGCAATACTGTCTTGTATCGTCTTGTATCGTCCTTTTATATATTGTATGTCGTGCTAAGTATGTGCAAAGAGCGAGATAATTAATTTTTTATTTAAATATGTACATCAATTATTAGTCCGGATGATGCAATGGAAAAATAAATTTAGCTAATTAGGCTAAAAAATGAATGATATTTTTAAGAAATAAACGAGAGATTATTGCGTGAACAAGATGCAATTTTTTCAGATCTTCCATTCGCTTTGCCCATTTTTCCTGTATGGTCCCAATTTATATTGGATGGGCTTACATTTTTTAAATAGTTATTTCAGAAACAAAGACGTGTGTTAACAGAACACATGTTTAATGTACAATAACATTTACATTGAGACTGGTACAGCCGGAAGTGATATGGCTGATTAATCCCTCGTGGAGAACTATACAATCACCAGCTAAAAAGACGTCACGTGGACATTGGGTGACTCTCAGGGACGTCACAGGGCCTGTGTACGTGAGCGAACGAAATCCCCCATTCTCGATATTATCGACAGCCTGTTAAACCATTCAAGTGTCATTATCCATCTTTAAGCACTGGTACGTTTTCGTATTATATTACACAAATCGATTTGGCGAATACCTGAATGCTGCACCGAAGTCTGTCAGCTGTGTCGCCGATGTCTAATCCCGCCACCCAGGCAATGATCATGTCCTTCTCGCACTGGCCTTCTCCGCCGGCGTGCATTTCCTCATGACACGCGTAATTGTGGCTGCTGTGTAGACGCGCTGCTAACACCGGCAGAGGCAATCGATTCCGATACTTAGGATTTATTTGAATGCTACCGAACAGCCTCGCTGAGGAATCTCTTATTGTTACAAAAATTTCTGCGATTAGTTAAGTTAGACACGTTTATAACATTAATTGCAAATATTATACGGTTTTATCTAAGAAATTTCTCTCTCTTAATTTTAAATCAATCGTAAATCAAATTCTTATTCGATATTTTTTTTTTTATTAAAAGAGATCACTTGTTTTAGGAAATAAGGAATTAGAAAAATATATATCGAATGCACCTGCAATGTTTAAGCGACGGTACTATACTAACGAGAGTTTTCCGGACACCAGTAAGAGAGCTAGACATCGACTGGAGTTGCAGGAGAGAGCTCCATAGCTGACGATGAGTGTGCTTTCGGCTCCGGGTTCGACACTGAGGATGGGCACTTCGGGATGATCGAAAAGGAAATGATGGGTGAGTGCCGAGAAGGCGACGTTCACCGAGCAGTCTAGACGTGGGCAACGTATGGGTCTGCGGGAGCAATCGATCAAAGAGGGACTTTTGACCTTGATCTCGGAGGAATATCGATCCACCGTGCCATTTCTCCTTGTTATCGTTGTCATTAGATTGCAACAGCCAGGCTGCTGTTGATACTGTTTCCCGCAACTTTCCACTTGCTCCTCTCGCCGCAGATTGCCTCGATCGCGATCAATGTATGAGACGGCATCCGATTCGTAATCTAACGTTTCGTTATTATTTTGGCTGGATATCGCCTTATCGAAATTGTAAGCCCACTGATTGCGATGCGGATCGTACGTTTTCGAATGTATGTTGCGATCGCTGTCTCTATCTTGGAAGAAACTCGTGTGTGATCTTCGAGGCTGAGAATGCTCCGCAACTAAAGGATATGTCTTTCATTTCATACGATATTTAATTTTTATTGAAAGCATGACGATAATTAATCGCACATGCCGATTGATTAATTATCGTCACTTGAGTCATTATTTAGAGATTTATAAGTGCTTAGATTTTCTAAAACTTTTTGTACTTTAGAATATTGATTTCTTTCACCTCAGAAGAAATAAATATTGCAAAGCTATCTAATTAGAGATAAGAGCTATCTAATTAGATATAATACTTTATTTCACTACTAGAATATATAGGTTTTAGTGAAATATTTTCCTAATTTTTAAATAGTGTAATGATTTAGAATAATTTTATGTTCCATAATTTTATTTTTCACAGTTTTGTTTTACTATAGATTAATTGTCATACTATATTTATGCAAAGTTTAAGTATTGCCATTTTTTGTATAGTTGAAAATTTTAAAACTTCTAAAAGTAGGTAATAATAAAAAAACTTAATGCCTTATATGATTCTTTAGCATCACAAAAATATATCATGTTACGAGTTAAAAAGACTATTATTACATATGTTAAATATATGTAATATGTGTTGTACAAAAAATTTTCCGAAAATCTCAAACTTCTTTTTTTAGATCCCTACATATATTAGTAGTTATGATGAATATTTTATTGACCTGATCGGATTGAAAAGTTTCGTACACAACGTTGACATAACAAATAGCCCTCGGAACAGTGTGGATCCTGTTCGGAGTTGGCGACGGTTCCGCCGAGATTTGCGTCGTTGATGATAACATGACAAATCGCGCACTGTTCAATCTGCGCAGTTTTCTGCTCATTTTTATTCACTTCTTGGTTTGTATCTACTTTCTGAATTTTTGCATCTTCCTCTTCGCTTCGATTTTCGTCAATTTCCCGTTCTTCTTCTTCTGCTTCGTCCTCTGTAACCTCGCTAGAGAATTCCTTCCTTTTTTGCATTCTATTTTCATTATCTGAATACTTTCGAACGACATGGTGATAATTTAATTCCTACAATGCGAGATATGCAGACAAATAAATAGATATATTTCTCTTTATTTAAATGACAAGTTAGTTTACAATCCAACGTTAATTTAGCAAAATTGCCGAAAATATTTGGGCGAACAAAATCATTAATTTAAAAAAAATTCAGAGTATTGGTTATCTCAAATAAATGTTAATATACTAATTAACTGTATATTTATCACACAGTTAACATCAATAAACAATATTTATAGTAATTAAATTTCTTAAAAAAATAGACGTAGTCTTTTTACAAAATTTAGTCCTGTCGAACGAATTATGCTCATGATTATGATTGATAAGAAAAAAATATACTAGATTGTGTTTACGAAAGTTATGTAAAAATATTAAGGATGTATAATCTCTTTTTATCGAGTTTTTGTGATAAGTGAGTGCAATTTGCGTCTTTGTTGTCCGCAGTCTCGTGCGTACAGATATCACATGCCTTGCGATGATTATTTGTCACGCGGCCGTCGGCTTTGGCGGCTTTATAATCGACCCTCTCGTTGTCCATTTCTTCGCGAAGCTTCGTCGACAGTTCTTATCACCGCCTTGATAACCTTTCGTCGATGACGTATGTGTCTGTAATCGGCCGATTTTCGCCACGAGCGTCTAACATAACATGCGAGATTATAGTTTCCGGTGTCTGAAACTCAATTTGCATATGTCATGCAAAACATCTTTATGAATGTACTTTTTTTATCTTTCATAAAATTATTGATAATTTCATGTTTAATGATGTACATATCATCACATTTTCTTTTGGCGACTTTATTGTTTTTTACATTATGTATCTCTGTAACTGCTCTTTAGCTAAAATTTATTTCATGAGATTAATTGAGAATACTAATTGAAAATATCTATACTCACAAGACTAATTCGTAAATATTACCTTTACTCGCTATTTTATTTTTAGATAATTTATCTACTTGAGTTTGCTAATTGACTCAAAATTAGGCAAGCAATTTATCATTAAGCATTGCATGTGTTATTATTGCATTAAACATTATACTGATTATATACTTACAAGAAATGACCGACTGCTTATCGATGAGCTTATCCAGATCCAAGAAACTAATTTTCTCTCCTTAGCTTTCTCTTCTAATTAAGTTCTCTTCTAATTATTTCTACGGAATTTAAAGAAGAAATATATTGTAGAACAAGATGAATCTTTTGAATCTTTTCCGAAGCGACACAATGAATTATTTGACAACCGATTGAACTTCAATTGACAAACGTTCTCGATTCGCTGTAATTTAGTCTAAAAGAATTTACATTCGTCAGAGCCAGAAAATGTTCGATACGCCACGGTATTTAGATCAGATGTAAGGCCATCTTGACGTTTCTCGGAACAAAGAAGAAACAGGTCGCAACGATATTAGTGTAATATCGTTGCAAGAAAATTCGATTCATCGTGCTTTCCTCCCGCAGGTCTTAAAATCGTTCTAAATTTAATTTATATAGAAGTTTGTTTTTACATCAGCAAAACGATACATGATATAAAGCCATTGACCTTTAGTTCGTTGTACAATCGATGCGCTCTGCCTCGATATCTATCTGTTTGTGCGAAAAGTGTCCGATATGTATATATCTGTTATCTATGATACAGCAATACTTTCTGTATTTATAAATTAAAAGCAGGCCGATAACCGTCGAAACTTTTACATTACACTCATAGAAAAGCATATCTCGAAAAATAAAGTTAATTTTCTTATACTAAATACTATGATAATAATCACTGATCGTGTGAATAAAGTACACATATAAATGCTTATTAAGAAACACGTGTTTTATTAAAAAAGCACATATTAAAAGATTAGAAAATAGTAAATGATACGATGCGTACATCGCCTGGTCGGTTTTTTACAGCAGGTATATACCTAATTGAAACTGTGTGTGAGTGTAGATTTATATTTAATTAATCGTGCTGATACCTGATCACATTCTTTGATCGCAATGCTGTGATTACGTTTTAATACAAATAAACTATTAATATCTAAATAATTCGCGACGATTTATATAATACATATCGTTAATTAACGTTGCAGCATATATTAATAACCAGCTGTTGAATAATCTGCAGCAAAACCTACAGTATCTTTTGTAACTCCTCGAAAACGATTGTTGTTAAAGCTACATTGCTTCCGTTACAACATTTTATTTCAGAGTTTTTTATGAACGACATTAACAAATCTCTACACACGTGTTAAACGCAGAAATCACTTATCCTAAGCGATTTATTTTATCGCATTCTTGTACTTATTTTTTAACATCGCCCGTCTTTGTCTCTGGACAATCGCTGACCAGCTTGTGTCTCACGTTCGCTAATCTTTCCGCGCTAATCGTCTGTATATTACTCAGATGAGAATTTTCCAACAGCGTCTTTAGGTTTTGTTTACCGCTCAAATTGATCATGCTGCTACTCTTACCTCTAAGCGCCGATAACGCGGACGTTTGTCTGAAGAGCGATAATAACGGTAACTCTTTAATACTGGTGGTTTTGTTCGCAAACCTCTTGGAAATTGAACCTTTGTCGAGCTGGTCCGCACTTCCAGTATCCAAGGATCTGGCAGACGATAATAATAAATTCTTTAATTTTATCGGACTGGAATTGGCACTGCATGGCGCACTTTTTTGCAAATTAGAGCTAGATTGTGACTGCAACAATGCAACATCACTATGCGAGCTCTTCGAATACTGGCTGACAACGGGAGCTGCTACGACGTGATGTCTCGATAAACTAGATTCCTTAGGCAGGAACTCGATATTAGAAACTTGCGCGACATGTAAATTCGTAAGTTGTATGTGGCTCTTATTGACTAAAGTATCGTTTGTATTACTATAACTATCTTTTTCAGATTCTTTATTCGTAACATTGGCATTATAAGGGATATTAATGTCCCAGCTGCTCTGCGTTTTTCTATCCTTAATATTGAATTGAGAGATTTTGTTTGGCACGTATTTCGATATATTTGCGCTTCCCGCTGAACCAGTGATCTCGAGATTAGATGTACCTCTATTTACTGGACTATTGTTCAACGATTTTGAAATATTGCTCTTCGTCAACGTTGATGTACCGCGTATCGCTGTCGTTGAATCAATCGTCGAGCATGACTTTAGCAAGTGCGGTCTATCGCTAAATCTGTCCCTTTCGATAGTCCCCGGACTTTCAATTAATCTTGTAAATTGATTTGAAGTACGCGTGTTAGACAGTTCAGATAAGGAATTATAGCACGTTCCGGTGCTGACTTTAACTGCATCCTGCAGTTCGGAAGAACTTTGTGCGTCGCGCTTCTTAATGCACAACGAATTCTCGATCGACAAACGATTTAACTTTTCCATACTGGTTTGCAATTCGAGCTCCCATTGCGTGAACTTGCTTTCGCTACCGTCAACGGATCTCTTATCAAGATGTTCCATGTCGTTCTTCGTTAAACAAGATTTCTGTAAATTATAGATAAATGATATTATAGATAAAAATTGACATCGAAATGCTTTCTACAAAATTTATCATTTCATATACTACTAACCTCGATATCATGTAGTTTTTCGTTATTCTCGTTTTTATTATATCTAATGGGAGATATTTTACGACTATCAGAATCGTTGAACTCGCTCTTATACTTTTGGTGCGTGTCTGAACCAATAAGCTCGGCACCGACGCCAGGTTCTCGCGGTCCATTAGCCACAATATCTAGAATATAAATGTAACGTTTATAAAAAAAAAATAGTTGTTTTACACGTCTTTAAAATATATTTCTCCGTACCATAATCTCTTCGTTGCTGATGAATCTGATTACTAATTTCTTCCAACGTTCGAAGACTTGTTGCGTAATTACGTTTGGTTTCTTTAACAGCTTGTTGCAGGAACTCTACTCTCTCCTTCTGCGTAGCTAACATTTGATCGCACTGGGTCTTCATCTCAAAGTACGGTTTCGCTTTTATTATTGCATGTCGGTGTTTTTCCTCCAATTGAAGTAGCTTCTTCTCGGCGTCATGGAATAACATCGCTTTTCTATGATGTTCTCGACCGCACTCCGCTTTTTGATTCTCCGCATCCATGACCTTCAATAAAAAGTATCATTTTATATTCTATTCGTTATATTAAACTTTTTTTATTAGAAATAGATTATTGAATTAATTAACGTAAGGCAGACAGGAATAAATAAGATATAACATCAGGATATTTTTCAAATATTTCGCAATATTTTAAAAGGAAATTACACGGTCATCATGCTATGTGTTTTACATTCATATTTACTTTAATAGTCGCATGATTAAGCATATCCTGCCATGCCTGGTCAAAATTCCACTCATGCTGATGAGACATGAATCGCGCTTCAGCCAGAGCCACTGTTTCTTTTGCCGCTGCATGAATTTCGCTGGCTCTTTGAAACAGCTGCGCCTGTTGTTGACACTGCACCTGTAAAATCGCAAAAGGAAATATCTCATTGATTCACTTACATGACACTTCAGCTAATTGTCACGCATTTAACGCACTTAATGCAAAACAACTAACGTTTATAATTTGCAATACGACAAATTATTTTAAAGATATTATATTCAGACAAATAAAATGATTAGAAATTTCTTGCCATTATATATATATATATATATATAATGAACTGCATAAAAGTAAATGATAATACAAATAAATATTATCTTATACTTATCATCATTATAACTTTTAGTACATACTAAGTTTATAAAACTTTATTTTAATTTAAAATGCAATTCATATCAAACCAGCACGAGAATTCAACTGGGCATAGCAGGATATGCTCATTCATGCTATTATTAAAGCAGGCATCAGAGTAGAACGCACAACGAGCGGTAACACGCTACATGTTCAATAACAATTGACTATGAGAGCATTGTGAAGCATTTGGAGCCATTGAGAAAACATTTATTGAATTGACCAAATATTACCTGAATTTTCTAACATTTTATATAAACTCAATACATACATTTTATATATTTCATACTTTATTTTTTATTTTATGACGCAATAAAATTAAATTTCATTAAAGACCTGTTTTTTTTTTATAGCTGACCTAGTATACACTTCCTAGTAATTAAAGTGAAATATATGTTTAAAATTTAGTAAGAGGGAAGAGGAAAATTTTAGTGCAGGAATAAAAAATAAACCCTAGATCTCTACCTGAGCTTGATGAGCCAACTCCAGTGCTTCGTAATAACATCTTGCCTTCTCGATGCAGCTAGTGCCCAGTTTATCCGTAATTTCTTTCAGCCTTCTTGTTGTATCCGAAAGAAGTTGTCCAAAAGCAGTGTGTGCTTCCTAAAAATCAATTAAGATCAAATAAATATTGCAAATATTACACACAATGTTAAATATTACATACAATGTTAATTTTTAACTTATAAAACAAAATACTATTCCTTACATCCAATTCAGTCTCCAATTTATTAATATTATCTGCTGCATTGTTCAAGTTCTCTAGCTCAATCTGGAAAACAAAAATTTATCCTATAAAAACACTATAAATAATTTATATATAAAAAAAAATATCAAAAAAAGATCACGAATTCTTCTAAATTTTTTCAATTAAAATTTAAATTATATTAGGTGTTGGAATTAATTCGTAGCGTTTTTAATGAAAGAATGTTATTTATTTCACATGAGCATTAAAAAATACATTAATGAAAGTACTTCCCATCACTTGTAAAACGCTACGAATTAATTCCAACACCTAATATATTTTATGTTGTATATTTTCATAAGCTTTAGAGTTAAAGATCGCTTTAATTATTGTGATTAGTTTTGCAATATTCCAGTATTCCGTGAAAAGGAAGATATTATTTCAGACTAAATTATTACCTAAATTAGAAATTAAATCTGTTCACTATAGAAAAGAGAAAATACTTTTCCTTATTAATTTCTCTTTTTCAATACCATAGAAAAAATGAAACAAAACAAGAGGTGTCTCGAGAGTACCTTTCCCAATTGTCTCACATCTACTTAAAATTTAAATTATACATTGTATGCTCTAAGTTTCAGAGAGTTAAAGATTACTTAATTACTGTCATTTTTATTTTAATTATAATATGCCAGTATGCGAAAAGAAAGAAGAGGTATACTTCACATCTAAATTTAGTTATTTCATTATAGAAATAAAGGAAAGAATACTTTCATTCATTTATGCTGACATTATTTATTTCTCTTTTCAGATATAATATCACCAAAATAGAAAAGAAAGAAAAGAGAATATTACTTCACACTGTGTATATATCTAAATTTAGTTATTTTATTATGAAGAAGAAAATACTTTTATTCACATTTATATTCACATTATTTATTTCTCTTTTCAGATATAATATCATCAAAAGAAGGCAAGAAAAAAAGAAAAGGAAGGTATTATTTCACACATAAATTAAAAATTATTTATTTCATTATAAGATATTTGTTCTTTTTAACTGAACCCTTATATAATTCATCTTTTCTCTTTTTCTCTTCAATTAAAAGAAAAAGAAAAATAAATCATCCAAGCAGTTCAGCTAAAAAGAACAGATCTATAGAGAATACTTTTATTCTTTTATGTCCACATCATTTATTTCTTTAGTGAGATACAATACTATCAAAAATAAAACCAAGGAGAAACAGGTCTCAATGTAGAATATAGAATCCTTCCTTAATTGAATCCTTCTCAGAAGAAACAACTCCGTTCATTAGTGATCGAGCTATCCTTAATCTCGCACATCTCACGTCCATCCGCACAAAAGAAGGAAAGTGAAAGCAAAGTGGGACAATGTACCAGGCAGTGTTAGGCACTGCGACCGCGACGAACATACATAACCTAAAAAGCCACGGGCATAGACCGCGTAGAAACAAAACCAGACAGAACCGAGTGAATCTGCGAGGCGAAACCTCTCTCGAGAACTCACCTGAATACGCGGATCCAGCGCAGCCTCGGCGTCCTCCGCGACGTCCATCCTGCGGCTGGCGCAGGCGGCATTTAACGCTGGTGCGACGTCGGGGACGACGTGTCAACTCATGATCGCCCAGTCGCGAAATCTCACATCTGAGGCCTTCTCTGCTTTCCTCTCCTTTCTTGACGTGATCCTTCTCAGGCGTTGCAACACGAATGTTTACATCCCGCGACACCCTCGCAAGCTACTGCGTACAGTACCTAATTACGAGCGCATAATGCACTCCCACGACGAAACTTGACGTCAACGAAGCTCTCTAGGCGTGGACGGAACCGACTGGAGCCGACGAAGACATAAAGGGAATGAGCGAGAACGAATTGACGCGTTTGAACCATGGTGGAAGGGATAACATGGTGTGCGTAGTTTGCAAGCATCTCTTTCTGAATCTCCGCCGTCTCTATCTATAAATGTCGATAAGAGACCAAGGCCGCCAACTGTGTAACGCTAAACATGGGGCGATATTGATAGTTCGTTTTTATCAAACCTGAGAAAGGACATGATGGCCCAAATCGATGTTTATTTCTTACTCAAATATTATTAACAGAAAAATTGCAAGAGAAAAATCATTTATTTTCTTCTCATAAAACTCTAAGAATTTTTTCAGAACTTTTTATCAACTTTTTAGTACCGCATTTTCTTATTTTCAATAAATCGGGCCGCTATGACTCAACGAATTAATGCACTACACTGTACCCTAAGAAAAGTGGATGTTGCTATGTAGTTTACGTCCATTTTGTTAGAGGGCAGTAGTGCGCGATTACAGGTTTTGATCATGTCCTTTCTCAAATTTCTCTCTGTTAATAATGGCTGCGTTCAGTGGACTCAACAGTTGAGTAAGCGCTTGCTGTTATTGATGTATTCTTCCAGATTTAAAATGATTGGATGATCCGAAAGAATACACTAATAACAGCGAGCTGAAATATTGAGTTCGCTGAACGCAGTCAATATCTTATCGGTGTCAGTGGCAATTTTTTTAAAAATATGACGTTACTACATCTACACTTCTACACTCGTACTCGATTGATTTATACATTATATCGATACTTTTGACTTTTGCTTGTCAGATCAATTTTATCATAGATACTAAAAAACATCAAAATAACATCTTTTATATCATTCATTTATTCATTTTTATTCTATTCATCATAGAAATAACATGTTCAATAAAGGAGTTCGTCAATTTCAAGGAAATCTATATTATTTGCGGATAACTAAAGTATAAAGCCAGAGAGAAACCTGGAGTTTCTCTCTGATAGAGCGAACGCTACAAAAACACGATAAATAACGCCATCTAGCACAAAGCTCGCGCACCAACAACAGCATAGGTCGTATCGCGATAGTCGGTGTCCAACAATCATGGCGTCTGCCAAGTAACAACGCTCCACGCTGCGTTAACGAGTGCCTTACGGTTTTTAGATTGATGTTATCACGTCGCTGTGCTTATCACTCCGTGTTACGCGCCAGCGATCCGTTTTCTACGTTTTTCTACATTTTTCTACGTGTAGAGGCCCAGCCTGAGTCTCTCCCTAGGAGATCTTCCGCCCGTGCAACGGAGGTGTGTGCAACTAGTGCATCCGCGGCGGCGGCGGCGGCGGCGGCGGTGGTTCGCGACAGCGGTTCATCGCGGTGAGTCACAAAGGCTTGTGCACGCACTTGAGAATTATGAGTCCGCTAATTGACAGTTAATTGAAGGCTGACTATTATCCATTAGGATCCACAGGCTAATCGAGACGTTTGCGCGAAAAGAAAGCTAATTGTGACGGTCGACCGGTGCCGATTTCTCGCGTCTGCTTTCCTGTCCCGCGAATCTGATCCGTCGTTTCGTACTGCCTTTCTTCGGGCAATGACTGTTACTCAACATCCTGGTCTTTTTCTTTAACGTATGATCGCGAATAGGCACGACAAAGCGATCAAATCAGTGTACCGCACGTCAATCACCTCCGTGAGAAAATCGAATTTTGTATCGTTATGTCATATCCTAATCGTTGGGTGTTTTTACGGTGATATCTGTATTTTTTTTTCTTTATATTTATTAGTGATAATTGCATTATGATACAATAAATTTAAACCCGATATAGTGATCTTTACTTGAGTTTTTATATTATTTATTTATTATAATTGTTTGGTGGATTGTTATACTTTCAGAATAGGAGACCATTGTTTTGAAAATGCCTACACAGACGGCAGAGAACGATGACATTCGAGTGAAAATTGTATATAATGGGTAATATATGTTGTTACAAAAACTATTTTAAACTATTTGTTTTCGATGTTACAAAATAACACTTAATTTTTTTCGAGTTTTAAATTCATATTATTTTGATTTCAATATATCAAATATCTTTTAATAATTAGTGATATTGATTATTAATTCTTTGGAGCTGACAATGGGTAAACTGAACTCACTCTATTATAAATTTTTTTGTCAAAAATATTAATTCCATTTTTTTTTATTATATCTGCAAATTTGGATTATTCTTATTAAAATATACTTGGTTTTTATCAAAAAAATTTTTTTTCAACATTTAGTATTTCAATATTTAATATTCTTTTTATTGTCATTTTGATATCTTGAAATTAATTAGTCTTTTTTAATTAACAAATTAAATAAATTTTATAGAAATCATATATCATCAATAACTGTGTTATGGATTTCGTCATCAGCTCCAGAGAGTTAAGAACACATACACTAAGTGATATCAAGATTAATTTAAAGAAAGATTAATTAATAAGGGATATTGATATTTAAGATGTTAATGAGATCGATTATACAAATCGAAAAAAAATGGGAAAGATTTTAAGACAAAATTTAAAAAACGTGATATTTTCCTGCATTAGGGAAATACAAATCACGTACATCACTCCCGGGATTTCAGTGGATGCATTACGCGAGGAGATGCGAACGATATGTGGCTTCGGCACAGAACAATTCACGATGAAGTGGGTGGATGACGAAGGCGACCCATGCAGGATCGCCTCGCAGCAGGAGTTGGATGAAGCGCTGAGGCTGTATGAACTCGAGAAGGACACGGAAATAACTATCCATGGTCAGTCAGGCTATTTACATTGGATTTCTTTAACATTTTATATATAATAAAAAGCATAGACAAAAGACAGGAATAGAGAATAATACAAGCAATAATATTTTAACTTATGGGAAACTGATATTAATTGATACGCAATTTCTTATTGCCTGTTGAAATCTTATTGCCTGTGTTCTTCTTTACTTTAAGGCAGTAAGATTTTTGACCTATGCAAAAACCGTGTATCTACATTAAAAAAAAAATTTACTAAATTTTAATGAATTATAATATTTTCATAGTACTAGCTGAATATTTAAACGTAATTTCAATATATATTTATTTGGTATAAGAATCATTAATTTGATTTAAATAATTTTTTTTTTATTTAATATAAATATTTACCGTAAGTAAATAAATGTTAAGTTAGTATTCTTCAAACAAATGTTTATTAAATTTAGTACATTTTTCTTAGTGTATTGATATTATTACTGTGTTATTCTCTACTAATACAGATAATAAGATTTTCGATCTATGGGAAATTGTGTATTTATTACTATACAATTTCTTATAAATTGTATATAATCTTATTGCCTGTGTTAGTCTCTACTAATACAGATAATAGGATTTTCAACTTATGAAAAATAATGTATCTATTGATATATATTTCTTGTACATTGAAATCTTATCGTTATTCTCTATTCTTATTGTCTATATTTTTCATTATAAGGCTTTACGCACTGCACTTCGCAAATATCTTGCATGTTGCTTTGATTTTAGCGATGCATTAATCGCTCAAAGACTGCGCATTTGCAATCGACGATAATCACTTGCATGCTAGGCACTTATATAATTAGAAATGGAGTATCGTACTCGTGAATTATACGCGTAGAATCAGCGCCCGGTAGCGAAGGTGCATGCATATGTATGTGACAAAATAGGTTCATCGGTAATGTCCACCGATGTCTTTAATATTCCAACATTAATGGCCGCCGTTTAGATAAGAAGCCGCCCATAAATTGCGCCTAAGCCGATATATCTTGGCCGTGCATATTAGCAGTAGCGCACTAAACGCATGTGTGCAGCCGCACTTTCAAGTATTGATACGCGCCTTGGATAACGGTATGTACGCTTCGACGATACTCGCCTTATCGGTGGTTTATCGTCGATATGAGTTGGCGATTAACGGCGAAACAGCTTCATCGGCGCCTGACCGTAGTGCCGGTGTTTATTCGGTACACATCGATCGATTCGGTGTGCGATTTCTCAAGGATGACGACATTCTCGGATCGCGCGGTCTGCGTGATCACGAAGATTCTATGTGCAGGCGCATGATACATTTAGAAATTCATCAGCTCTCCGAGATCTCCCAGGATAATTTGATACGGATCTCATTTGTGCGACAGCAGGATACTTCTTGGAAAGAGAACCTTATCGTGATCGCGCATACATTTCCGGTCTGATGGACTTGGCTGTCATCTTTTTTTTTCACTTCTCTCCACTCAACTTTAATGATGATCGAATCTCTTTGACGAAACAATCCCTTCGAGCTTCAAAGATTAGGCTTGTCCTTTCTAGCCGAGTTTCTTCTATGCTTCATTTTTTTTCTTTTTTTTTCCAATATGGAAAGGAAAGGAGAAAAAATGAACCATATAAGGAGTTCAGCTAGAAAGAACAAGCCTATTAATGTCTCAAAGAAAAAAAAAGAGTATTTGTATACCTAATATATTTCCTTATTTTTGAACGAAGGGGAATTAATTTGCAAAGTATGGATCATACGAAAATATCGGTTGCGAACTTTTCCAATTAGAGAGCTCTAAAATAAGAGAGAATAATGAGAAAGTACAGCTAATTAAAATACATGATACTCGAAGGATTACAGAGTCAGGTTAAATATATTGTTCCCATAAATAATTTTCTTGTTAAACATAGCTTATTAAACGTAGCTTAATAAGATTGCATCTCTTTTTTTGAAGCCTAGTAAAAATCAATAATTTGTTAATGAAAATCAAACTTAGTACACGAATTTTATTTGGTACATGTGAAACGATCGGACATCGCCACACGAATATCGACAAACTTTCATTGTCAGTTTCTCGATGCATATGACACGCGTCAATCCTTATAAATGTATAGGTTTGTGCAGTATTGGTCAGAGCAATAGCGATGACTGTATACTGTCACGAAAGAACGAGAAAGAATCGACGGGGCAGCGGCCGAAGGCGCGGGAAATGCAAGATAATAACTCAAAGAGACAAATAGCCAAGGATCAAAATGAAAAATAGGAAAAGCCAGAAAAATAGAGCAAAGAATAAAGTAGAATAGGGTGAATTGCATGTTGTGGAACGGAATGGTCTTTCTTGAAATCCCCGGTAAAAGCAGGAAGATACAAAGGATAGAGAGTCGTTGACTGGAAGAAATGGAGTTAACAAAAAGGACAGGAAACATATAATGTAATATGAGGCGTCGGTGAGGAGCGCAAAGTTTACTTGAAAACGGTGACAAGAAGAATCGCTGGATAATCAGTGAACAAACAGCAAAGGCATGAAGGAGGGCGAGCGGGAGAGAGAAAGAGGTAGAGCTTGGGAGAGGCAGAAGTTGTGGGTGGATATAGGCGGGTGTAGGACCGGCAGCGACGGGGACGACGGGGGATACATGTATCACCTCCACCTCGGCGTGATCCGCGTTTGCGCGATTCGGTCGGTAGCGTACGCCGGGCGGCGACGACGGCGGTGGCGGCGGTGGCGGTTAACGCATCTCGCCGCGGCGGTAGTCGATATCCTTGCACGGACTGATCAGCAAGGGCGCACATACACGTAACGCGCTACCGTCGACGTGAATCTGGCTGTGAGATCCCCAAGATCGGATTGCCGCAGGTGGGAGGAAAGTGCTGTGGAGCGAAGAAGTCGAGTCGGGAGTCGCCTCAGGGTTGCGAAGAACCTCTTCGACAACTTACTGGGCTACGAAAAAGGGGTTGCGTCATTGTGCGCTTCGACTACGACAGCGATATTCGACGGTGGTTGTCGGCGCGCTTGGCTCGCCACACCGCGAGTGGAGAGAGGTCTCAAAAGAGGCGGTAAACTAGCATTGATCGAGGCTGGTGATTCGCCGCATGCTCATCCCGGCGGCTCCTGTAAGAGGTCGACCGCGGTGAAGGAGAAAGAGACGAAATCGAAAGAAGGGAAGAGAGAACGAGGCAAGGGGCGAGGCGGGTAAGGCAATCGGTATATATACATAAATAGAGAACGAGGGAGAGAGAAAGGGGGACAGAAAGTCAGGAAAATAGAGAGGCGAGGCGATCGCGCGCGGTTGGAGCGAACAAAAGAGATATACATACCGCGGCGATCGAGCAAGGCGAGGCAAGCACGGCTAGACTCGCTACAGAATGGCGTGGGGCTACTGGAGCGCGACTTCCGTCAGCGACCGGGGTCGGTCACCTCGCCGCGAGAAGGACAAACAGCATCAGAGTCTCTATCAGCAGCATCAGCCGCCGTCGCAGCAGCAGCAACAACAAATGCACCAGGCGGAGCTGTCCGCGCAGAGTACTTACGCCAGCGTGCAGGAACGAGAGATCGGCGTGACCGCTCCCGGCGTGGGGGTCGCGACGGAGGAACCACCCTGTAGCATGATGATCCAGGGTGGTTCCTTTTATTCATATTCGGCGGCGACGGCGGCTGCCGCGGCCGCCGCCGTGAGTCGTCGTATCTCCACCGTCGTCGAAGGTAGCGGCGGTGGTCCGTCCTCCCTCACCTCTACCAGCATGGTGTTACCGCGGGAGCGCCACGTGAGACCCGGCACTAGCACACATCCGCCGTCGCCGGGTAGCGGCGACTCCGCCGAGTACGAGCAGCCGCTTGTCGGTCATCTACGCTCCGCGGCCGACATCTCGCCGCCTCCTTGCCTCGGTAGTCCGCCGCATCATCATCATTATCATCATCACCACCATCACGACGACATTTTTGCGCAGCCTGGTACCTCGTCCAGGGCGACAAAGCTGCTCCAGTGTCCACCGGACACCATTGAAGGCATGGACGAGTTATCCGAGGCTGAGCTCGAAGAAGTGGCGGCAAATGCCGAACTAATTTACGGACCCACTGCGACGTGCCGGGTGCACGGACCGTGCAGTCAACAGCAGCTACCGCCGCCACCAGAGTCCGCGCTCTCGATGACGTCGCTGCTCGACGTCGAGCCTGCGGGCCCGTCGCAGTTCCAGTTCAACGAGATCACCTGGGGTAGGTGCAGCCGAGGGTGGAATGCATTGAAGAAGAGTTCGTCTTTGGCGCGCGACCAGCTTCGCCCTTCTCCTCCTCTTTCTCCTCTTCCTCTTCCTTCTCCTCCTTCTCCATCTCCTTCTCCGTTGTCGTGTTTCTTTGATGCAGCCTGTGATCTAGGTCAAAGTCTGCCCGTCTGTCTACCTCGCCAAGATAATACTCGCCACGTTCTTGTGAGTGTGCGATCGCGTCCGGTGCATCTCGCTCGACGCCACGACGACCAGAAAAACGTCTTCCGGCCGCTGCATGACTCGCGGACGCCCTCCTTTTCGCCGGCTTTGGCATTTGTTGACGGAAATTGTCCCGGCTCCGCGACATTTAGCGCATTGCAGTAATATAAAACTCTAAGTCGGTCACGTGAATTAATTATCGCGACTTTGTCCTCGCTAAAAGTAAGGGTTGCGCTGGTAGTAGTTGTCGAGTTGTCGCTTGGTTTAGTGCATCTTTTTTTTCACGTCGTGTATGATGGATGGAGAAACTTTTTTCTAGCTATAAGCTATATCAAATTTATTCTGCCTAACATACCGCACTTTATCCGATCGCATTAATTTTAATTGATGACATAATTCACACTTTCCATCTTTCGCATTAATCTTATAGTCATCATGAAAATAGTCATCTAGGTCTATCGATTCTTTAAATACGTACGTATTTTTTTATTTATAAGTGTATTATGTATCTCGCATCATTATCGTTTTGTCATAGTTCTTTTGTCATAGCGTGTTGAGTAACAAAGGCGATTATCGTTGCCGGATGCTTTGACGATTAAATTTCATCTCTTTCTTTTCTAGCTTGCACAATCGAGGGCAACGATTTATTCATTAGAAAAAGCAGTTTTGCAATTTGTTGTAAGATTCTTTAATATGATTGATTTATTATTATTTCGATTCAGTGAAGAAATAAGAGCAAGACCAAAATCTAAATTTTTTAGAGAGTACTCTAAATTTTTTAGAGTGGAATCTCACTCTAAAAAGTGAAAATTGAGCTAGTTTTAAAAAAGAGTGACTCAATTTTCAATTTTTAAGGATGAGATTTTATTCTTCAGAATGAAATTTACTTTACAAGTTTTAAAGAGTATTAAAAAATTTTACAGTTACAAAACTGTTTTTTTCTGCTGAACGCAGTCAATGCATCGTCGTCTAATAAGTAGTTTAATTTAAAGCATGAATTAGAACTCAGCCATATTCGACGTCATTTACTTAGTTACTTAGTACTTAGCAGAAAAAATAGCTTTGCCACTGAGATTCTTTAATATGATTTTTTTGTACATTTAGATCCAATGAGGAACTAAGAGGAAAATCAACCATATTAAAGAATTTTGCAACAATTGCAAGGCTGCTTTTTTTTTAAATAAATATATCCAATATGCATTGTTGTTTAGTATCCTTAAATTAGAACACATGAATTAGAATTTAACCATATTCAAAATCATTTGGCTTGAATTTAGCAGAAAAAGCAGCTTTACCATTATTGAGATTTTTTAACATGATTGATTTATACATTTAGTTCCAGTAAGGAACGAAGAGCAAAACCAATTGTAGAATTGGTACATATAACATTCGCAAAGCTTTTTTTTCTGCTATACGTAGTTAATACATCGTTGTCTAGTATGTTTAATTTAGAGCATAAATTAGAACTCTATTTTCGACGCCAGTTACTCGACGATCTAGTTACGCGAAGGGTTTTGAAGTTTTAAGTACGATCTTCGTCGTTGTGCTTTCCTTCGCATGGTATATGCGCCGGTGCACTTATGCACTTACCATATTATAGATCCATGCTTCGAGTGTGCCACGCGTTGTCGTTGCCGTCATCGTCGTGGTCTTAGTACGTGCATTCTCCATACAGCTCGTTGCACGTATCCCCCACGTTAAGGGTGAGTGTACATCGTATCGTCTTTATCGTCCATGTCATCGATCCCTCTCCGTGATAATTAGTCCATGAATATTTCAAGGAATTGCGCTCACCTCTTGCGCCGGCATGTTCACCTCTCGTCCTGGGATCGTCGATACGCGGCCCGCGGTGAGCTCTCTCCTGTGTAACAAACGATTCGATTACGTATATTGTACCAACGGGAGAGCACCGATGGCCTCGTTAGCGAACTCGCGATCGTATGACACGTTGTATCCACGCAGCTCTCGCGGCTGCGCCTCGTCTCGTATTCATATGATAGAGGCTCTACGGAGAGAATTGCTTTAGTAAGACGTGCCATTAATTTTTCCCAACCAGGATTCCCTATCAAATTCAGTATTTTAAATTAACAGATCTCGGCGTTTCCATAATTCAGATATTTCAATTGTTAATGGACTGATAAATTGATTATAAATCTCTGTTTTAAATGGACCGATTAATGCGCTCGTTCCGCTTGCATAATTCTGCATTATTCACTTATGAATTTATTTGACCTGTGCACTTCATATAGACGGAATCGATTTAAATTCATTTAAATCTCTTTTTGGTAAATCTATTAACGAATTCGTGCTATTGATTGTTCTATAGGTCTATTGTCCGTCAACCTACATCCAGTCGAGTATCGCTCGAGCCTGAGGATCTATTTTCGAGTTCTGCAAAAAGATCAGCGGTTTCATCTGATCGAAGCACGTGCCTTCAGACAAAAACCTTTTGTGCGCTCTCTCGTTGTGACCTTCAGTAATAGTTTCTTCGGCTTTCTTCAATCTTCCTCTCAAATCTCTTCGCGGACCGCGATGCACCAGCTGGTTCAAGTCCGGGTAGCCGCTTTAAAGCATTAAAGCGAATAATCCGGAACAATTCGCGGCTTCAATTTTATTCCACTCATTAACCGTGCCGGCTTCCATTTCTTTCCGAGTTTCATAAAGTATTATCTGCTTGCGACACGCGACACAATATACTTAATTGTATATTTAATCATCATTCTATTATACGCACTGCGGGATCCTTATGATAAAGGGCTCATATCCTCGCTCGTCCTTCGTTAATTAGAATTTATATGGCGCTTGTGTAACCGCTCCTGAGCGGTAGGATTATTAAAGCCGACGATGTCGCGAGTAACGAGATTAAATCGTTCGCGGGAAATCGTTCAGGACCTTCAGCGAAGGTTTTCGCACGCGTGTTTGCGTCGATTCGCAGCTTTTATCGGCGCGAAGTGGCGAGGAAATTTAATCGCAAACGCACCTCTCTCTTCTCTC